ATGGGATGATCTACCCTCTTTTCTTTGTTTCCCTGGTTCTTTCTAGTCTTTACATCCAAGGCCACAGGCAAGGCTGTAACAGTAACTGAAAGTAGCCTGTGATGTTGAGGCTCATGTGCCAGGCAGGGGGCAGAGGACCCCTCTGAAACTAGAATACATTCCATTAATGGGGGTTTCAGCTCGCCTCTCTCTCTTTCTTAGATGGATGATCTACCCTCTTTTCTTTGTTTCCCTGGTTCTTTCTAGTCTTTACATCCAAGGCCACAGGCAAGGCTGTAACAGTAACTGAAAGTAGCCTGTGATGTTGAGGCTCATGTGCCAGGCAGGGGGCAGAGGACCCCTCTGAAACTAGAATACATTCCATTAATGGGGGTTTCAGCTCGCCTCTCTCTCTTTCTTAGATCTACCTTAAAGGATAATGTCTGTGGTTCTGAGGGGATATGGGAGTCCCACGAACACCACCAGAAACTTGAGTGTCCATCACTGGGCGGAAAAGTCTAAGGCCCCTTGACAAGACTAGCATGGCCTTACGCCCTGGGGTTTTAGGCCCAACATTGTGCTCCAGTACAAATGAAATGGTCAAAATTGGAAGGGGGATCCCCTCCCCAACCAAGAGCACAAACACGTAAATAAAATATAAAAAAATTAATAAAAAATAAAATAAAAAATTTGAAAAGGGGGATTTGTGCAGTGGGGAAAAGGCAGGGAGCTGAATATGGCACACTGCAGGAGACTCCCCCTCAAGCTGCAGGTGACTGAGAAGGGACTGAGTGGCCACAGGCATCTGCTGCCTTATAGTCCCTTGTTCAAGGCCTGAGAGCATTACTGTGCAGTTCAAGGCCACACATATTATGGCACCCCAAGAGCAGGGCTGGGCAAAAATGCAGCCCAGGAGCTGGATCCAGCCCACCTAACACTTTCATCTGGCCCACAGACTGCATCTGGCAGCTTTCTATTCATACCCTGCTGCCTGTGCCACTGAATTTCCAGCTGATGCCTCAGGCAGAAGGACCCTGTTTAAATGGCTCACAGTCATAGCAGTATCCTGTGAGGACGGAGCCGTGAGCCTTGTAAATAGCTGCAGCAACCCTGGGCAAGTGCCAGGCAATACGGTAGCGGTGGGGGCAGAAGCTATGAGCCCTTTGCTATATTTTCAATCCAAAGCCTCCTGCTTTAGCCAACTCTGGGGGAAAGCTAGTCCCCAGCCCCACCCCTTCCATCCCTGGCCCTGCCCCTTCCAAGGAGTGGAGCTGGGCCAAGACCATGAACCAAAATTAATGAAGTGACCTCCCTGGGAAAATTATTGCCCACCCCTACCCTAGAGGCATGTTTACAAAAGTAAGAGAGTTGCTTTCTTTCAGAAATAGTCAATTTTGTACCTCAGAGAGCTGATGAGATGACTGTGCTTGGATTGCCAAAGAGATTTGAAATTCTTGAACCTCTCCAGTTCCCAGCTAGCAGAGTTTTCCCTCAGATTTTGTTCATTCTAGTGAGATGATCGTCTTGAAATATGAAATTCATAAGCTAGGCAACCTAGAACAGCTACTGGATTCCATGAAGTGAGTGAATGGACAAGGATACATGGATGATAAACAGTGCTTCATTTCTATCATCAGGATGGGATCGTGGCCACTGCCAGAACATAGGGCAAAACTGACATCCTTATTTTTACCATTTCTGAGTCTCTTCTTCAGAGCACCAAGTGTAAGTCATTTCCACTGTTCTTATACACCTCGTTTCTAGATGAACAGTATGCAGAGTGGAACAAATCCCATTCTATTATTTTATCTAATGGCCTTTTGTCTTCAATGGTATAGCACATGTGGTGCCGTCTGTGTAAGTATCAGTTCAATAAACAGACTTGTGATCTGTGTTTTCTTTCCACTCCAGCTGTGATGGCCATTTTCTGAATAGAAATGGTTAGAACGGCTTTCCTGTTGCCGGGGTTAGCTCTAGCCTGGACTCTGCTGATCCGTGGCTGTTGTTCCCTCGGCGAAATCCACCTGCAAGTCTCACAGGATTTTAAACATAACTCCAAGTGCTGTCAGACTTCTTATCTAGGTTTTTGTATTTGGCCAGGAGCAAGTCTGTCATTTGTTAGCACACCTAGTCTGTTAAATTGGACAGGTGTCTGCTTTAAAAGCAATAGAAGGTCTCTAGCTCTGTTTTCCCCTAAGAGCTTTGTGATCAAGAGCTGCATAATAGCGACCCATCAAGACAATGGTAAGTCAATGAATAACAGAGGACCTGTCCTAGGTCTCTTGACTTCAGGGACCTGAATGTCAACCACTGTTCTTGCCTGTTACTCTGTAGCATGACATGTCTGAACTGGTTTCAGCCTATTTAACAAAACCCATTTCATTCCCCTTTGGCTTGGAAATGGAAACATTTTCAGGATTCATAGTTCTATAATTCAGTTGCCCCACTGAACTGTTAAAGGTAAGTTACATAAGGACAGAAGGATGCTCTTGCCTGTCTCCATTAAGCCTTAGCATCTAGAGCATTTGCCAGGCACACATCATCTGTGACCTAAGGGGTGGATTAAAGTGGGTCCAGACCTCACAAGGTAGGGTGCATTAGGCAAAATGTGCAGTGTAAAAGGTGATCACTTAAGTGCTGCAATATCCTACTTGTCTCCTTGTACACCTTTTGCTAATGTGGATGTACTCTAAGTGGATGCCTACACTTAGCACTAGGCGTGTGATTTCCAGCTCACAGAGGTGTAACACAGGCTAGCTCTGGGTTACTGTGACAAAGTGCAGCAACACTGGCAATGAGACCTGTACCTTGCTGAGACCCAGGATGACTAGCTCCTCCCATAGGTTATGCCGTGTCGGCCATGGCGCTCAGCCAGGGTGCCCCACGCTCCACGTGGGCAGGCGCAGAGAAGCCACCCAATCAGCTGGAGTGCGGGGCCAGCCTCTTTCAGCTGAAAGCCAGAGCCAGCTGGCCAGGGTGTTTCAGCCCTCCTGACCGCCCAGCTCCCACCATTCTGCGCAGCCACTCACCTGTGTTATTGCTCAGTGAGTGGCTGCTCCTCAAATGAGGAAATCAAATTTAAATGTACTGTGCAGGCGCAGTTCAGCGAGGGCTCAAGAGCGACTCCTAGAGCCCCTAAGATCGACCAGTAGATCGCGATCTACCGGTTGGTGACCACGGTTATAGAGCCACTAGGACTCCAACCTTGACCCACTGAGACCACCCACTGATCCTGCACTCTCCTTCCCACAGCCAGGCCTATCTGATGCTTTCTTCCCCTTCCTTTTAAATGAGGGAGGAGTGTCTTTGCTCACCAAAGGAGGACTCATCTCAGACTCAACTACTGCCTCCTTCATTCCCATGGCTGGAAAGCCATGAACCCAGTCGCCGGTGCTCCCCAGCTGTCCCACAACAGAGCCAATACAGAGTACCAATCCAGCCACCGATTCCCTATCTTGCTTATTGCCTAGCAGGAGAACAGACAGAGCCACTCTCCTCCTGCACTGAGGCACTTGCAATCAGCGATGAATCTGCTCAGCAGCTGCAGTAGTCACGACAGATCATCAGAGCAGAGAACTTCCTTGTATACAGGACAGGGAGGACGCGGATTAAGATCCATGCCTGGGGGGGACAGGCAAGCTGGGTTCTATTCCTAGCTCTGCCATAGCCTTCTTGTGCGGTCCTGGGTAAGTCTGTTTTTTGGCTTGTCCTGTGCTAATATTAGGAAGGGAATCACAGAGCCTTCCCTGCCCATTGTGGAGAGTAGCCCTAATCAGAGTCCACATAAATCCCTGAGCACAAGGACTGCTAATGCTTATGTAGTTGGTACAGCTAGCTACTCTAAAGGAGGGGGAGCCAGACCTGAATCCCAGTGCGAATATCCATGAGAAAAACCAGAACTAGAACCCATGAATGTACTTTTTATGCTCCTCCAGTACTTGAGAACACTGAACACAAAGGGTTACATTAGAAACCACTGGGGAAGGGAAGTGCCTGTAATGTTCCCACTATGGTGGAAACAAACACGATGCCTGCCCAAGGCAGAAAGGCTGCTGATCACAGGAAGATGGAAGCAGCTGCACCCTGAAAATTTTTAGATCATCACTTTCAGGGACATTCACTGCTTGCCCCTGCTCACCTTGAAACACTAAAGGCTTGATTTCCAGAGGTGCTTTCTTTGAAGCCAGTGAGAACTGCACATGCAAAGTTTGGGGCCCTCAGAGCTTTTTTTGGGGAAAAAAAATCACACACCTGGCATCTCAAGATGGACACCTAAAATATGAAGGCATCCAAAATTCGTGGCTACCCTGCAGCTATGGACCTTAACCTCCAGCATTTGCTGCTGCCAGACTCTAGTCTTACATTCAGATTTTCTGTATGGGGGTACCTGTTCTTAAGCAGCTCTTACCTGTGGAATCTACAAGTTCTCCTGCTCTTCCAGTCAATCGAGTCATTATAGCAAAGCCTGAAGATTCAGCCAATTGTTTTAAAGAGCTTAAAGTAATATAATGTCACAGTAAGGAAAGATGTAGGAAATATGGGACTCAAATTTTACTCAGGAGATAAATGCATTAAAAGACTGAGGTTCTCAGATGCTGTGGAATGACGGTAGAGAGACATATAAATTCCTAAGCTAGATTTAGGCTCTGATTGTGCTAGTAACTAAGCAAATACACTTAATGTTGGGCAGGTGTTTAAGCATGTTACTTGAATATGGGCCTTCGTTCACAGTGGCTGAAAATTTTTTTCGATCAATGATTCCGTTATCATCTGGGCACTGTTTCCATTTTACTCCATCTTGGGTTTCTAGGATGAAAATCTAGAAAGACACTCTCAGTTAGGATCTAATTGGGCATTCTTGTGTGCACAGTATTTTACAGAAATATAAGCAATATTTTTGGAAAATTATGTTAGGTGTTCCTTCTGGGCAAGATATCACATTTTAGATTTAACTGCAGCATAATCAAAACCCAGCACTATAACCAATGCAACATGATGCACAGAAAATACTATCTAGGCCAAGGTAAGGGTTCTGGCAACAAGCAACTGTAGCATATCATTTTAGCATTTCAAAACCTGAATGCTGCTACAGACAACGTGGGGGTGTTTTTCTTGCTCACAAACTAATTTTAGAGATGGAAACATAGTTAAAAATCATCTGATAATTTCAAACAAATCTAAGGTGCTGCTTTAAGGGTCAGGGGGGTTAAACACTGCTGATGTTCATGATTCCCATCTCTAACTGCTGGAAATCTCTGCTTTTCACAGCATAAGGACTCCACAGACTAGTCTGTTAAAAGCTGCTTTTTTCAGGATTATTATTTTCTGATCAATAACTAAATGCGTAACAACTGATCATTAACTAAATGTGCAACGTAAGATAGGCCATAGGAAAAAATGACTCAAACATTTTTAGAATGCTCAAATATGCTCTTGAGATAATTTCAATACGCAATATTATTTGTTTCCTTGGAATACCATAGGAACATACAACAGGCTCTTTTGTACAATACCCACCACAAAACAAAAGCTCTCCTCATTCAGAGCACCTCAGAGCAGATACCTCTTTCACCCCAACTCTTCACAAAAGGCTCCTTTGATTTCAAAGACTTCACAGGAAGTTTAAGTGCCTTTGTTAACCCAGCACTGTGCAATGCTCGCTAGTGCGACATTCTGAAGTCATGCTAGGAATAGTCATTTCAAGTCTCTGACAAACACCAGAGGGTGCTGCAGGGCTGCACTCTGAACTTGCAGGCGTGTTTGAGTGTGGCAAGGTAAAGGTACAAAATGGTGAAGGAAGAACAGAATAGCGAGAAATCTTACAAACGTCACATAAAACCACATTCAGATTTCTTGGGGAGATGAAGGGCTGCTTCGCTATGGCCAAAGGCACTAAAACTAGCTCAATTTTTTCAAAAGACAAATTCTGTCATAATACATTATACCCTCTGTATTCCGAGGGTCCCCAATTCGGGAACACCTATGGTACAGACGTTGGCAGGTGAGGGCGGAAGCAGCTCTGTGCATTGCCACTCTCACTTCCAGATGGGGGAACAGCAGTGCAGCAACACGCTCTGCCAGAAGCTTTTCCCTGCCGCTCCAATAGCAGCAGGCAATCCTGTTGCCAAATTAAAGAGCTTCCAGTGAAATATAAAATATATTCAGCTACAGTCACAGCATCATCTCTTCATTTTGTGTGTACGTTGGTCCACAATCCCCTTTTCTTCCTCCCTCCCATACTGTAGGTCACTGCACGGAGAAGAAAGGCAGCCTCCGAGGTCAGGCATAGTGTATAGCTTGGGGGGGGGCAAGCAGCGATTCACACTAAGAAAGCGGCTCGCACATGTGACTTCCTTTAGATCAGGGGAGAAAGAGGGACCAACTGGGACTCTGGGGGTCAGTCTTATGCCTGGTCTGCAAGAGAAGCAGGGTTGTGCTGGTCCTTATCTGGGCCTTAGGACAAGCCCACGAGACATTTGAAATGTATCCCCTCATCCTGAGACCCAGTGATACAAAACACAAATATGACAAATCAAGGCCAGAGAGATATTCAGGATTCTAAAACTATCCCTACTTACCTCACTTCCTGGTTACCATGCTGTAATCAGAGCCTACTGATATAGAATTTCAGTTACCTGAGAAAGTAGCCCCACCCTCAACAAAGGATTCATATTAAATGTAAACGGTGCTGTGGAAACCCCTTTATCAAACCAAGAGCTAGGAATGTACAAATGACAGCGTGAACTACACAATCGGTGGTCGTTTTATCTGCTATTTCGCTTAATCTATGGCAATTGACAGCAGCTTTGGCCCCACCGTGGCTCAGGCAGTCCTTGGACCCAGGGTCACCTGAGTAGCTGGTCATGGAGCCAGCTGATTGAGCAGCCCTGGGATCAGCCACACTGGCTGCTGCAGAAGTCATGGAGGTGGCGGAAAGTAATAGAATCCTTGACTCCTTGCAACCTCTGTGACAAACATGGAGCCTTAATTACACTCCTTTGAAGTTTTCCGGTTTCTGTTCTGCTACTGCTATAGGAAACATTGCCTATAAAGGACAGGAAACTTCCTCAGTAAATGTCCATCAGGGAAGTCAAGCTGAATGATTTTTTAAGTTTATTGATGCTGGTGGGCTTCCATGGATAAAACACCACAGCTTTTCTCTTCTCAGTCATGAGAAAGCCATTGTCATCGAACCTGCCAGGTGTACTCCCTACATCCAGCCAAACAAAAGGAGTGACTGCTGTGGTCTGCAGAACAAAAACGTACAGGTCACCTTGCTGGGAAATAGTGGCCTGAAAGAAGGAGGAGGAAAAAAAAAGTTAATATTATTGCAGAAGTTCATGTGATTAAAAACTACAGCACCAATCGGCGTAAAAGGTATTTTCAAAATACATTAGTTAAAAAAAGTTTTTCTCCACCTGCCTTATCAATTGTTCTATATAATCTGACTAAGGATGTTAAAATGTGGTTATCAGGCTAATCGCATAGTTGATACAATTTGTATTGACTATAAGACTAATCAATAAGACTGCTCTACAGAGCTGCAGAGGGGGTAGCTCCAGGAGCCAGCTTGAGCTGGGACAGAGGAGTCCTGGCTCGTTCCAGCTCTGGGAGCCACCTGCACTGCAGCTCTGCATTTTAAATGCAGTTAGAGCCACTGGGCTCTTACTACATTTAAAATGCAAAGGTGCAGCAATCAGTGCAAGCCAGGACTACTGGGTCCTCACTCGGGCTGAGTCCAGCAGCTCCTGTCTACTGCAAACAGGGATTGGTGCTGGAGCAGCCTCTGCTTGCGGTGGACAAGGCTGGCCACCGCAAACAGAGGCTGCTCTGGCACCAGACCCTGTTCGTGGCAGTCAGGGCTTTGTTAGAGCAGCCCTTGTCCAAGGCTGGCCCTGGTTGCGCAAATGGGGGCTGCTTCACAGCAGCCTCCCTTATCTCCCCCTGCTGCCTCTGATAGTGCTGGGGGACCTGGCTTCCCACCAGCACCAGCTCTTTCCCCTCCCATTTGCTGCTTCTCATATAGTCCCGTGCTCCCTGCAGCGCTTCTGCTTTTGAAATGTACAAGAGTCCTGCAGCGCTCTTGTATATTTCAAAGGCTGAAGTGGCCACAGCAGAATGAGCAAGGGACTGCTTCAGTCCCTGCTTGCGCTGTTTCCCCGCTGCATCCCTGCCCCACCCCGCCTCTCATGGAGACAGTGCTGGGGGGAGCCAGCTTTGCTGTCTCTCTCTGAGAAAGACAGTGGAAGGAGGAGGTGGGGAGAAGCGACCAGTCGAGTCACTACTCGACTATCTGATAAGCTTATGCTTATTAGATAGTTGACTAGTCAACTAGACACTTATATACCTAACTTTGACCAGGATAAAGTTAATAAGATTCTATCCCAAGCATCCCAAAAACAACAGAACTTAACAGAGATTTATAGCTTTGCTACAGATTAGTATAGTCTAGTTTAAAGATTTTATGGAATTTTACCACTATTGCTGTTCATAAGGACAGTTCCTCTGAAAATAATGAGATAAATGCTATCCTGACTTACATTCAGTGACATCCTAACATAGTCACAAGGTGTGAGATAGATTTGTCCCCTGGCAACACCTATACATTCAAGATATTATGGTTTTTGGCCCTTCTTGCTACATCAGCAATAAAAATCCATGAAAGTAAAAGAAGATAGAAGTAGGGCAATGTCACCTACTGCTAGTGGAAGAAAGGGAGATCTTTATATTTAGAACTGATTCATAAGACATATGGAGAGATCTCAATAATAGGTTTAACATTTTACTGTAAAGTTTTCAGTAATAACATTCTGCAGTTTAGGAACACAGCTAGAATACATTTTGATTCAAAACATTTATCTTTGGCAGAAGCATATCTCTTCAGAACATTAATGGTATATTAAAATCACTAAGTGACATATTAAATACATTTTACAACAAAAACTGCCTTTTTTTTTTTTTTTTTTTTTTTTTTTAAAGAGAAACCACATGCTCTGGATTCTTCTGTTTTCACTGCTGGATGTGCAGTATAAGCTTTTGCACTGAAACCTATACCACAAAAAAAAAGACACAAAAAGCAGCAGTTGTGTTAACAAAGGTATTTAAAAATGAGGTTATGATCAAAAAAGTGATTCTGTAAAAAAATGCCACCCTTTCACTCAATAGATCTTCTGTGTGTATATACTTTAAATCACATTCGCTTCTTTTATGGACAAAATTAATTATTGTATTTTTCTCCTACTAGCCCTGCAGAGTCAACATAGCGATAGGAGAATGAGCTGAATTTGTGCATTGTCAGGAGAATCAAAAAGTAAATTGTAACTGCAGAGCTTTTATTATTGATGATGTCAGCTAGAAAGAACCTATCTTCTCAGATTCCAAATTGAGTCTGTAGCCCTGTGTCAAGAAGCTGGCCTAAGAGTGATGTGAAAGGAGAATCAGACCTACATTTTTTAATTTGTTAACTAAGCAAATCTGATGTGGAACCACAGAAGCCACACTGTGTAAGCTCATTCTGACATTTGTAGTGTCTTTTCAGTGGCTACTGAGGAAGAGTTTCTGAGTAAGGACTAGGAAGCATGATGAGCAGCTGCAACAGCAGTCAACAGGAACACAGCACGAAGGGAATCTGTGAATCTAAGGCAGCAAGCTCTCCGGAGGCCATCGCCAATAAAATAAACAAATCGCAATTATCACTTTCTGTTGCTTTACATGCAGATGCAAGAACTGAAATTTTGTATAGATTGTGGGAAGCCATTACACATATCAGAACTCCTCCACTGCAGTGCAGAAATGTGCATAATCCAGAAATAACCATTCAAAATTACTTGTCAATAATACCACAGCATCTCAGGGACAGCAGAGGCAATTCCATTGTAATACCATTGCCAATAACTGGCATTTAGTGCAGCATTTACCATATTACTAGCAGTTAACACACTAGAAACTGATTCTAATCACTCGTTGCAATGCCTGTCACAGTGCCATTAGTTAACTAGGGACCAAAAAAAAGAAATGAAGAAAGAGATGCTGCATCAAATAAGTGGATTATACTCAGATTGACTGAAATGCAGGCTTCATATAAAAGAATAAAAAAAGAGTGAGACAGATCAGTGTCTCTTCAAAAACAACCAACAAAGAAGAAAAAGAAAACTCACTTTGAACTCCTCTGTGCAGAGCTTCAGAAAAGCTACTGCCAAGCTAGTGAAACGCTGAACAGCAAAAGACATCACACGGTAGATACCAACTCCCACCCCCACAACTTCACAGCAGACAACCTTGGCAGGACTAAAAAAAGCAACTTGGGATGGCTGGTGCTTACACTGAGCTGTGCTCTCTCCAATCCCACCGCATCCTTCAGCGAAGACAGGAAGTGATAGTTGTCAGGACTGCGGAGCTTGCCTTTTCCCATAAGGGAAAAGGTGACAACACAGCTCTGTCTGGTACAATTCCCACATCTTTTCAGCAAGTCATTTATAGGCTCCTTGTAAATGGGGGCAGCACTCCCTGCCTTAATGGTCACACCCTCTTTTTCAAGGGTACACACTGGCTCCATGGAACTCCACTGGTGCAAACTGACCTGTGAGAAACGTTAAGGGTCAAACCGTTAACAGAGAAAACAATACATCTCTAAAAATATCCCCACATCCCAGATTTTCCAGCTACCCACAGAATTTCCTGAAAGTACATGGCACATAGCCTTAAGGTGATTTCTACATCAGACAAGAAGAGATTGCACAAAGATTAAAATCATAACAAATATAAAATATTACCCATTTTATGATTGAAACTAAGTAAAATTCTGTCTCAAATAGCCTGAACATGTTGGTCTTTATCATGGCACGCTGCAAAGTTCTTCTCTAGCTGACACTGGATTGGAGTGTATAAGAGACTGTCATTGTTGGAGTAAGAGTTTATTGCTTCTCCTCCATTTTCTGGCCCAGGAAACTTCTAGTTGCACTTATGTAAAGCTGACCTGCATTTTCTGAGACATGCCGAGGTACCCAGAGATTTTGAATAGATAATTTTAATATCTTTGTTAAACAGAAAAGATGAACAATGATTTGAAGAGGAATCCCTGGAACTGTATTAACACAGTGAAATAGGTCCTCATTTGTATCAATAAGACTGGCTTTTTAGAGAAAAACTGTGATCCACTTTGGCTTATTTTTAGCGTGAGGCAACTACAAAAAGGCAAATGGGAAATAATCCTCACATCATCTGTAAGCAGGGTCTCTAAGCAGCTGGAATGGGAGAGAAACCCTGGGTGTGTCTATGTAAATACAGTTTGCCCCTGCTTTGATTAGATGTGTTAGATATTCAGCTGATTACGAGCAAAACACTATTCCATCAATTTGGCTGGTGTTGAGTCACAAATTGTGATAACACTAATAGCAATGTCTGTAATTATTATTGGAATACGGAAAAGGAAAGTCTGTACTAAACCTGGCACAAAGGAGAGAGACACTGTCAGTGTAAATAAACTTAGATGGACAGAGGCTTCACTTCCAGAACCCCAGGAGCTTAAGATGAGGGAGGGCAGGAGTCCGAGTCAGCTTGCAGGTGTGAACTCTAAGACTGGTTCAACCTGTTTCTCCCCGTTTCAATGACAGAACTAAAGATAGGCTCCATAAGGAGTCTCTTTTATAATTTAAATTTTTTCTAGTGGATACTGGAATTTCTTGTGGCTGATCAGTGCTTTGGGCCAAGAGCTGAAATCACTAGGCTTGGCCTAGAGCCAATTTCACCTCAAGCCAGCAAAAGCAGTGAGTGGATGGTAGCTGAGAGATGCAGCGAGCGACCAGAAGAGTGGCGGCAGCATGATGAGCAATCAGCAGAGTGGTGATGGAGGAGCAGCAAGCAGAGCGGTGGCAGGGAGGTGAGACAAATGGCCGCCAAGGCGGCGTCAGAGAGCAGTGAGCAGGTGGATGGCAAGTGGCCAGCAGACTGAGTAAGATGCCTCTTTACCTCTCTCCCCACCCCTCACCCCCCAGGATGGAAGGTGAACTCTGCGGACGTACCTCTGAACTCTGGGTCTGTCCTGACGAAGGGCAGCAACTATGAGTGGGGTTCAAAGAAGGGTTGGACATGTGAAGGGGACCATTTACATTGCTGAACTTAAGATCCTGAGAGGAAAAAGACATTACTGACCTAATTGGGGTGTGACTTTTACCCTTGGTTTTGTTATGAACTCTGTTTGTGGTGTTTTCCCAAATTAATGCCTTGTTACTTCCCTTCACTCTTATTAAAAGTTTCTCTCTCTACACTCAGGCTCTGTGCTTGTGAGTGGGGAAGCATTGCCACTCAGAGGTGCCTAGGGGTGTTGTGTGAATTTCCCAGGACACAGATTGGAGGCTCTAATCAGTTCTATGTTACATGAATGGAGAGGAACCCCTAGATATTGAACCTGGCCTTGGCTGCTTCTGGTGCTACATGACAGAGGGATTACATGTACAAGGCATCAAGACGTACCAGCAGCCAGAAACTGATCCTAAATTTCTCCCTAAATGCTCTTTTTCACAAGTTTAAAATTTTCTTGAACCTACAGTCTTCTGTGGGATCATTCAGATATAGCTTGAGAAGAACAGGAGTGCACAGCAGGCCCTGAATTGGAATTTAGCTTCCGATTCTTGCCACAAAATAAGCCAGTGTATTTTTTCAGAGGTGCATTGGTTCATGGAAGCTAACAATAAAAAATAGATAAGATAGACAGATAGACCAGAGAAGAGCAACAAGAATGATTAAAGGTCTAAAGAACATGACCTATGAGGGAAGGCTGAAGGAATTGGGTTTGTTTAGTTTAGAAAAGAGAAGATTGAGGGGGGACATGATAGCAGTTTTCAGACACCTAAAAGGGTGTCATAAGGAGGAGGGAGAAAACTTGTTCATCTCTGGGGATAGAACAAGAAGCAATGGGCTTAAACTGCAGCAAGGAAGGTTTAGGTTGGACATTGGGAAAAAGTTTCTAACTGTCAGGGTAGTCAAACACTGGAATAAATTGCCCAGGGAGGTTGTGGAATCTCCATCTGTGGAGATATTTAAGAGTAGGTGAGATAAATGTCTATCGGGGATGGTCTAGACAGTATTTGGTCCTGCCATGAGGGCAGGGGACTGGACTCCATGACCTCTCGAGGTCCCTTCCAGTCCTAGTATTCTATGATTCAATGATAGATTTAGGGCCCAACTATGTTAAGCACTGCACAGATATATAATTAGTGTCAGTCTCTGCCCCAAAGAACTCTCTGTCTAATAAACAAGATCAAATAGGTGGATAAATTGCATCAATTTGCATCCTGACTCAATCTGGCCCACAATGACATTCTGAATAGGTTCTCTCAGAAGCTGAAGCACTGGTCATTTACTTTATGTAGGGGAGGGCTGATAGGGCTGGAAATGGACTTATTGGATTGATGTTCCATTACAAAGCACTTCTTTGTATTTTTCTGTGCTTTTCCCTAGCTGGAGGTGACCTTTATGACAGGCAAATGGTGGCACTTACTTTAAGTGTCAGTTCAGAGTCTGAATGAAGATCCGATACACCGTAGATGTATAGCACATCATTATCTTCATAGCCCACAGGCAACAATGGGGCAAAGAAGTGCCGGGCAAAGTAATGGAGCATTTTCCACTTGCCTCCATACTCTGAGGATTATTTAAAAAAAACATAATTCAGTCACAATCTGAGACTGGCTGTAAACATATAGGGCAGTGGTCCCCAACCTTTCGGGGCTGCTGGGCGTGGGGCTGCTCACGCGCCAGGCATCCGGGGGCGGGGCCGTACATGCGCCGCGCGCCCGGGGCCGGCACCGCACATGTGCCATGTACTCAGGGGCAGGTCTGCCCATGCGCCACGCGCCCAGGGCCGGCACCACACATGCGCCATGCGCAGGGCTGGCCCAGATCATTTGGCGGGCGCACATAAATGCCATGGCGCCCGCAGGTACCACGTTGGAGACAACTGATATAGAGCATGACCCTTCCCAGTGCATAGGTCAAGATACTGCAACTTCCTCTCCTCTTTCTGGTGGGCTTGGCCCACACCAGAGCCTGCGGGATATGACAAAATCTTGTTGTGGTGCTGGGTTTGCAAATCTCTCTCAGACTCCCTTTGAAGTTCACAACATTAGTCTAAGTTCTACAAACCTTTGGTTCCTGAAATAAGCATCTCTCAGTGTGATTCATTTTAAAAAATGAAAACATATATGCTATACACAGAGCTAGAGAATCACCACAACAAAGGATTACCACAAGTGCGCGGCAGGTACACTTAGACAAAATCTGCTAAAAATTATGCTGTTGCAAGTCCAGAGTAACCCATTGGCTTTAGTGGGGTTACGACAGACTTACACTGCTGTTAACGAGAGATGAATCTGGCCCATACTGTTCCATTTTTCATCAGCATCTCTCTCTTTCCATTCTCTTGGTCAGTTTTTGTAATTCCACCTAAACAAAATCCTTTCCTCTAATGGGGTGTAAATGGTTACCTAGTTAACCAGTTACCCTGTAAGCCTCCAGCAGGATCACAAATATCTGGATAAATATTTTGTTTAGCTAGCTAGTTAACTATCTAACCACTATTTTACATCCCTAGCTTGCAAGCCTGAGTCAGACTTTCAAACTAGGCCCATCTGTAGAGATTACCTCTATTATTTTTGGGGGGGAGGGGGGACAAAAAACTTAAATATACTTTATACGTGCATTTTCTAGTTTCCTTTGCCAGTTTAGGGGCAGCTATACTTTACTGCTTATTATGCTATCAAAAATTAAGCCATTTACAGATTAGAGAAACTATCCAATGTGATCACCTCACAAATACAATCAAAACTCTTAGTGATGCTTTAGGACACAGTATAAAAAGCTCAGCACAGTGGGTGAGCCAGTCACAGCAGAGTTTTCCTAGGTGTGATACTTCCAGACAAGGAGTTTGGTAAGAAAACTTACTATGTAGCATTTTAAAATTTGTGGATCTTAATGTAAATGTCCATCTCCCCTCGTCCCGCCCACTCCTTTCCCATCTAAGCCAATGTTAATGTTAACATTTGAACTTTATCCTTGCTCACCATACATCCTAGCCACTAGCACATTAGTAAAAAGAGGCACTAATACAGCTATTCACCCTTATGGTGGAAAATTAAACTCTGCCCCATTCTGGTTTGTGGGTCTTCATTTTATAGAATATGAACATAGCTAATGATGGTGGAAGGTATCTTCAATAACCAAAAGCTTCTTCTTTGCTTTGGTACTTTTTTGGAAATACTTACAGCTTTATACATTTCAGTATCCTGGGACACTATCCCTTGGTTTCCATGTTACGGCACCAAAGCATGGCCAATGAAATCATGCAGGTTGACAATATAGGGAAGAACTCAGATCTACCATAATGCAGCTGGCTTACATTAAGCAGCGAAATCTGAAATGGATTTCTGGAGGGTGGCTGAGCCTAGTCCTATTCAGTACCAGACATTTAATAGAGCTTCTTCAAACATACAGGTTATCAGCAACTTCAGTTGATGACCTGTTTAGCTCAAATGGTGTGTTGGTGCTGTATAAGGCAAAAAGATAAGATAATCTCTGCCCTTAACAAGCTTACAGACTGAATGTTGACCACACAGAAGACAGGAGTCCCTGGCAAAATTCAGAGGTGGGAATAACACTGTGGTTTGTTTGGTTTCAATTGCACACACTTCTTGTTGGCCTTCAGAAAACCTAAATGAACAGGAGAAAGTGGAGGCTTGAACTGGAAATAGGTGGTTCAAAACAAAGCAAAATAATATATATATGGGCATTGCCTGGGAAAAGGGCATCCCAGCTATTCATAAGGCTGTTGGGGGGGAGCAGGAGGAAGGAGGAGAATGCAGTGGAGGTCTCAGACCTTCAAAACTGCCATGAAAATCTTAGGAATTTTGCGCTCTCTGCAAAAGGTAGTTATAGTTTTCAAGCAGAGTCTGTTGCAAACTCAGACTAATTTATCAGACTATAAATTCAGCAATAGTTTTATTTACATTCTGAAAATTGAGGCTTTTATTGGATTAAAACAGGGATTCTCACGCTTTGTGATACCACAACCCCCTAAAATGCTAAATGAATTTGTATGACCTCTTTCCCGACCCTCACTGCCCTGGGTCGCTTCCTCCCCCCTTCTCACCAGACTCCTTGCCTTCCTGGGGTTCCTTCAAGGCATTTGCAGTCCTCAACGCCCTTATCCCCCGCAGGCTCCTTCCCCCTGTCTCTTTCTCCTCTGTGCCTCTTTTCCACTTCCACTTCTTTGGTTCCTCCTCTCCTCTCTCCTCCCCTCCCCTCCCCCCTACGTGCCCTTATTTACCTCCGGGTCCTCTGCCCCGACCCAATCCCCCAGCCTGCTGCCTGAGGGACCCTGCCCTTTCCTAGCTGGGGAAGAGTTCAGTCGCCCAGCAACCGTGCCCTGGCCAGCCCCTTGTGCATCCACTCCTGCGCGGATGCCAGCCTTACTCTCCCGCCGCCTTGCCTTCTCCTGCAGCTGAGCCATACTCCTGGAATCCCATGGCCCCAGCCACGCTGCGCGGCTTGCCGGCGGTTGCCTTCCGCTGCTCTGCCTCTCTTCGTGGCCCAGGGGAGAGGCATCGCAAGTGAAAAGGCGACTCCAGCTGCGACCCCCCTCTAAGTTGCTCGCAACCCTCTGGTGGTCATGGCCCTCAGTTTGAGAAACACTGTATTAAAATATGAAAATGAAGCATATCAAAGCATACCCCCTGATATTTAGCTCAATATTCAATTCAGTGTATTGTATGCTATACCCACTTTTTCACTTTTCAATATGCTAGATTTATGAAATAACAACAGAGATGCAACACAGATATCGTCTGGGGGAAAACTGGTGCTTTTGACACGCAGGTGGTGCATACACAGTGGTTTGGGAAGTGCATGATGGCTCACAATTGGGAGATAAAATTCAATTAACTAACTGGATGTTTATGCAAAATTGATCAGAAACGTAATGTGCTAACAATGCTGACATTTAAACTCATCATTGGCTTTCAGGTCTCATTGCATTAGTGGGAGAAGTCCACATCTCCACAGCTACTGTTTCAGGTTTTCTGAAGACCCAAGCAAACATCAATGAAGGAGTTACACCTTCTCCATATTTTAAAGTGTTGTTTTACTCTGTAACCAGAGGGTAAAAAAAAAATTTTTTTTAAATAATAAAAGACAACAGCTTATATTTTTCTAGCACAGTTTCTCAACAAGGGTTGGACTGTACAGTTATATCTGCAGCAGAGAATCACAAAATATGACTATAGCTGCTGCAATTGAAATTGACTTTTGACAGAATTGAGAGGCGAGCCCTCTTCATGCTGGCTGCAAAGCAGACAGCTAAAGTGTTTCAGCCTGATTGTCTGGATTTACTTAAAAACAGGAGACAGATTTCTCTGAGAAATCTTAAGAGGGAGCAGCCAATGTGAAAATTTCTGGCTTTAACCATTCCTGTTGTAGGCACGTATGACACAGGGCAAAAGCTATTTAAAACAACCCCAGGACTTGCTTTCTGTGTTTAAATGAACTGTTGATTAAATCTGGATTCCCCAAATCTCTTCCACATTGACAAGCACAAAAGGGACTGTGATGACTAAGTCTGGAATGAGACACCACTGCTCAGATCTTTCACTGTTCCCTGAACCCTTTTCATCCAACAGCTAGAGTAAGAGCAAATCGTTTTCTTCACTGGACTGGATTGTAAATTAATTGCTCAACATCACTAAACACAACCTGAGAAACATGCTGCTAGTTCTTTCCTCACAGCCAATCTCATACATTTTAATCTATTTTTTAAAGCTTGTGGTTTCTGCTCACTAAACACTGTAAGTATTGGACCTATGGTTCTAACCAATAAAATTTAGCAATCTGTGAAACTCCTGACCACTGAATCAGACCCCTCAAGGTGACATCTGTGCAGGAAGGTGGTGAAATTCCAGCTACAGCTTAACATTCTTCACTAAAAACACACCACACAGGTGCTAAAGTAATCAATGCAGCACAAATGGCTCCAAAACCACAACCTAGCATTCAAAATCCTCTCACTGAGGAAACACATTGATGTCTGAAGGACGGTAGAGAGTCGTGTGCAGACAAGAGGGCTTTACTGTTTACTTAGTTTCACAGTAAATGTTTTAAAACACATACACAAATATTTTAATTCTCAATTCTCTCCCCATATCAAGAAGGAACACGCTTTTACTTCATATGGGAAATTATGTAAATCCTTTCATGTCACTCCATTTATGACAGAACAAATTTAAATAAAGGAAGCATTCATCAGTGATACCATTGTGCAACCTAAAGAGCTGCAGAAGTGTGGTTTTGAAGTGCAAAGGAAACTAATTTATTTGAGGTTTTTGCATAATTCCAACCATTAGCATTTCAAAATTCCCTCCATACCATCGCCTAATTAAATGAAAATTAAATCTTTCCTCAATCCACTGACAGAAAAAAAATTAAACAAAGGGACAGCTGTATCTTTGCTGAGCTTCCTTTCTGAAAACTGACATCAACAAGTCTATGAATAATTTAACTATTTCAGACATTTGCTGAGATGACGTTGGTTGTTCTCTACTTAAAAAAGTTATACTTATGTTCATCACATCAGATCATCTGTCAATGCATCTGTACATTGAGATATTTTACTAGGTTTTTTTCCTCCTTTTTAAGGTACTTTTTTTTTTTTGGTAAAATGTTGTCAATTATAGCGAAATTCAGATAAACAAATGTTGAACTACTATGTTTCTACACATAAGTTCATGAAGTCCCAGAACCTCAGAGTTAAGGCTGGACTACTATCTTGGCTGACAACATAAGGCCTGTAGCATGTTGTGTAAAGACAGTTTTACTATAGTTTGTTTCCTCTAGTTTTCTAGGTGGAGGTCTTCCACACAGAAAAAGGGAAGATTGAACTTTAAGAGGTAGGAAGATGTTACTGTAAAACCCCCCCAAAATTGGCAAGTAAACCCAAGAGCAGAACTTGAAACTACATGTACCTTCCTCTCCTAAACTGACCATATTCCAAAGATTCTTTTAACTATGAACTTCTTCTTTGCAGCATGCATCAGTAAACTAAACAATCATAATATTTAAGAAAGAATCGAGGTTGAAACCATGGATAGGACAATGGACTGGAACTCAGCAGTCTTGTGTTCAATTCCCAGTTCTACCAGTAGCCTGCTGAATGACTTTGGATCCGTCACTTAACCTCTAGTTTTCCCATCTGTAAAATGGGGATACTGATACTGCCTTCTTCACTAAAGTGCTTTGAGATGTACAAATGATAAGCATTAGCTAAGAACTGAGTAAATGTATTATACATTTCCACAAAACAGTCCTTCTACCTTAAACTCCACTAAAACTCAAAATATAATCACCTAGTTCTAAGCAGCTATGAAATGCAGCCACTTCACTCAGACCATGCAGTTCTCCTTCACTTACTATTTATTACCCAACCCAGTTACACATCTGCATTCAACCTAAACTAAGCCCATTGTTATGCTGTGAAATAAACACATTATATGCTATTTAATTAGAACTAAAGATTCTTCAATTAATTTAGCCATAATATGTCTTGACATATTGCAAAGTTCCACACAAACTGATGAAGACATTCAATGTTTTTATGACTAAGAAAATACATATTTTTACTGTTATAGAAGTGTCACTAGCTCTCATTTATTGTTATGCTTCCTTAAAAACACTGTTCTTCATGTCTATTTTACACAACTGTTTAGATCTTTCTAACCCTTCCCACAATACCAAAAGGCACTCCTCTGCAGCAACACCAAACAAACATAGTTCAAAGGTACTAAAAAAACAAAACCTTTGATTTGTCCCACTCAAAGAGAAAAATTGTCCTGGATGAGATGTGGCATGTAAGATTTAAGGAAGACCAATTTATTTCTGGGGAAGCTAGGGGGATGTTGAGAAGTTAGGTGTATAATGAGGTGCTAGCATCAGCCTTAACTATAATGGAAATACCACTCCCTAAAGGGATAATGCTTGTTTATTTCAAATATTGTCCTCTTCTCAGGAGACATTAATATTGTTTAAATTAAAAGATATACAGTTTAAACTAGGGCCAGCTTCACTAAGAGTATTATATGACATCTTAGCCTTGTATTATAAAGGTTCCTGGTTTGCGATTAGTGTGCTCTGAAACGAACAGTTGAGTGGATACACTGAAAGATTTGTTTTCGTCTTCACTGTGTTTGTAATTATATGTAGAGGATGACATACCAAGACCAACAGCTTAGAAACCTTGCTTGACTTTATTATCAAGCTTATGCTGTAAACCAGTTTGCTGGGATTTACAGGTTGAACCTCTTAAATACAGGGCTCTCCAGTCCGGCAACATCCATTGTCACGGATGTTGCTGGACCAGAGAGCCCCGGCGCCCAGGAATGCGAGCCTGTCAGAGAGTCCAGCGGAAGGGAACCTTGACATCAGATCAGTGAGCCCCATCCTCAGAGAGCCCCAGCCAGGCAGAGCAGCAGTGGGACCAGTGGGCCTGGTCCCTGCAGAGTCCCATCCTGGTGTGGCAGCAGTGGGGAAGCTGCAGAGCACCAGTCCCAGCTGGGTGGCGCAGCAGTGAGAGCAGCGAGTCCCATCTCCGTGGAGCCCTGTCCCCCAGTGTGACTGCAGGGCAGCCATGGGGCCAGCAGCAGCCAGTGAACCCCGTCCCTGGGAAGTGCTGGCGTGCCACTGTAGCAGCAGGGCAGCTGCAGAGCCTAGTTCCCGGGAAGCCCCAGGCAGGACTGAAGCGGGACAGTCACAGAGACTGGTCCCTGAGAAGCCTCAGCCAGGTGGGGCCAGAGTGCAGCTGGGGAGCTTCACAGGAGAGCCCCAGCTGGCTGGTGGCAGCATGCCGAGTCCAAGCCCAGTACCAGCAGGACTGGAGCCCAGTGGCAGTGGGGCTGGAGAGGAGCAAGCCAGAGGGAAGGGCAGTATCCTGGAAGACCGGTGGCAGGAGGACCTCCCATGATCCGGCAAATTCCCTCATTCGGGACAGGTCAGGTCCCGAGGGCGCTGGACCAGAGAGGTCCAACCTGAATTAATAGACGGTTAGAAATATGTTTGGTTCATGGAAAGTTATCCAGGGACTCATGATGAGCCTTATTTCTTCACCTGGTATTTCTGAGAAAAAAACATGATAGATAATAAAAAGACATTTAAAAAGCACCATTAGTGGTTTCACTGGTGGCAACTGGAAGACTTACCTAGTGACGCCCATGAAGGGGCTTGCCAGATGTCATTGAGCTGCCAGTACAGTGCTCCCATTGTATGTCCCTCTCCATTGATTATCTCACTTCGACTGCGCCGATAGAACTCCGTTTCTGTCTTTATACACTGGGCTTGCATAACCTTGTGCCACAAATACATTAAAATAATATTACTTTCAATTTGATTACTCTCAGAACATAAGGAGAAACACAGACAGACAAGGCTTCTTGGGTTCACTTTGAACTAGACTGTACCTAAAAGACACAACCCTGACCAAGAGACAGTACAGGAGTTCCAAGGGGATCTCAGCAAAAGTGTGGTGTGTCAGAAAGGAACAATCTTTCCGAAGCCTATTGAAATCAGTGAGTCCCACCTGCTCTGTGGATAAATGGAGAGGGTCAAGAGCCATCTTTTTCCTGCCTCTACCATTTTCTCTGGAGTAATTTGCATTGCCTGGAAGTGTTCCCCTGAAATAATCACTAGTCCTTGTGTAGAAGAAGGGAAACAAAGAAGGGAAATTAGAGAGGCTTTTTGTGCTCAGTTTTCTCCCCTACAAAGAGTCAAGGTTACATAAAATCACTCCTCATTAAATTATATTGTAAATTCTTCAGGACAGGAACTATCTTTCAGTGCCTAATGTACGGACCAAGACTAGACTCTCTAGTTTCTAATAACAATAATGGTTGCATAAGTATCTTCTGCCAGAGTGTAGCCATTGTTACCTGAGTGAGGTAAATCGTATCTTTGAACATTTTTAAGGGATCTACGTTCTGGGGCAGCTTGAAGTGAAGTCCAGCCTGATGAAGCATTTGCTCATTACCAGCTGCATGGTGCTGTCGATGGAGGGAGAAATTGCTTGTATAAGACCAATCCTCTGGAGAGGAGACCTTTTGAAAACACAGAAAGGGTTGGAAACAGGTCATAAAGAAATAGCAAAACATGCTCCTGATCTTTGGGACCAGGTACTTAGAGACTGCAGAAAGGTGACGAATATCCATTTCAGGGCCTTGCCGTTGCCTATAGTATTTAAAACAATACATTTCTATAGTGACTTTCATCTGAGGATCTTTAAGCCTTGACAACACCCGGTGGAGTAAATGTTACACTCTTCTGCAGATGGACAGACCCAATGGCTGTCTACACTGAGGGCTCAGCTCAGTTGATTTTGTGAAACTTCACTTATTTGTCTGACAGCTGAATTTGGCTCACAAAGCTTTCACAGAGTCAGTGACAAAGGAGAGGGGAAACTGCTGCAGAGGGAGGGCGTCAGGTGGGGGGGAGAGAGGGAAACTGCTGCAGAGGGAGGGCGTCAGGTGGGGGAGAGAGGGACAAGCCTTGGAAGTTAATTTTATAACTCTGCTAGACACTCAAAATCATGGACTAACCAGAGACAGGCTGCAGAGGGAGGGCGTCAGGTGGGGGGGAGAGAGGGAAACTGCTGCAGAGGGAGGGCGTCAGGTGGGGGAGAGAGGGACAAGCCTTGGAAGTTAATTTTATAACTCTGCTAGACACTCAAAATCATGGACTAACCAGAGACAGCAGAAGTTTCACCTGAAGAAGTGGGTTGTGCCCATGAAAACTCATACCATCCACATGTTTTGTTAGTCTCTAAGGGAATGTCTACTCTAGCCTCCTAGTTCGATCTAGGGAGGTTAATGAGGGCGACCAAAATTGCAAATGAAGAGCGGGATTTAAATATCCCACACTTCATTAGCATGTTCCTGGCCGGTTGCCGTTTTAGAAACTGACTAGCCCGAAGTAACTGCCAGCGTCTACACGCAGCAGTGTAACGGGATTCCGAATTAAAGCCCTAAATCGAATTAGCGGTTAAACCTCATTCCAGGAGGAATAACAGCTAATTTGATTTAGGGCTTTAATTCGGAATCCCGTTTCACTGCCACGTGTAGACGTGGGCAGTTACTTCAGGCTAGTCAATTTCTAAAATGGCGACCGGCTGGGAACATGTTAATGAAGCACGGGATATTTAAATCACTTACAGCATTTGCAATTTCGGTCGCCCTCATTAGCCTCCCTAGACTGAACTAGGGGTCTAGTGTAGACATACCCTAAGGTACTAGGACTATTCATTGATTCAAGTTTTTTTTTTTTTTTTTTTTTTACAGACAGGAGAATTATGACATATTACAACAATCAGTAACCCACTAACAACCCTCTGCCCCACAGCTGCCCTCCTTCCACTTCCTTTTGCTTGTATGGCTAGAGGGATGTCAGTGGGCTCCTTCACTTTGAATGGTCCCTTGAAAAGTTTGTTAACTCTTTATACTAAACAATGACACCAGGTACGTTTCCCAGACCTGAAGAAGAATGCTTGGTAATCTCAAACGCTTGCCTCTGTCATCAGCAGAAGCTGGTTCAATAAAAGACATCACTTCACCCCATTTGTCTCTCTATTATCCTGGGACCAACACAGCTACAACACCACTGCATGCAATATAAAGACAGGGTCACTAATCTGCCGCCAGCCACTTTGCTTATACTACAGCAAGCAACAGTGCTCAATGTATTTTTGGTTCTGATCCAATGGAAGTGAAGGTGTTTAACAGGAGTTAAATTGTGATGAAAGAAGACAGGACTGATCAATCAGTGTCTTAAACAATACATTTAAATCACTTCAAACAATACAATTAAATCCTGTGTTTCAAGAGCACAAGAGCGTGCCACCAATTGTTTAAAACTGGTAAAACAATTTCTAAAACATTGATAGATGATAATAAATGATAGCAATGCTATGGACTCTGATTTTGCAATAACGGCTTATGGTAATAAATTATGACGGTAAGTATCTTGGCTACAGTGAGTGGAACCAAGTTTAATGTATTAAAAGGCAAAACATGCATACCTCACTCTGGCTACGTCTAAGACTGCATCCCTCTGTCGACAGAGGGATGCAAATCAAGCACACTGAAATTGCTAATGAAGCAGGGATTTAAATATCCCATGCTTCATTAGCATAAACCTGGTCTCTGCTTTTTTTTGAAACTGAGCTTTTTCAGAAAAAACAAAACAAAACAAAAACCAGCAGTCTAGACACGGATCTGTCAAAAATAAGCCCTTTTTGGTCAGATCCTGTATTCCTCAAAAAATTAGGTTTACAGGATCTGGTGAAAAAGGGTTTATTTTCGACAGATCCACGTCTAGACTGCCGTTTTTTTTCAAAAAAGCGCCCTTTAGAAAAAAAGCGGTGGCCATGTTTATGCTAATGAAACGCAGGATATTTAAATCCCTGCTTCATTAGTAATTTCAATGTGCTTTATTTGCATCCCTCTGTCGACAGAGGGATGCAGTCTAGAGACAGCCTCTGTCTCTATCGCTCATATTAAACCTAGGATTCCCTCTCAATAAGCCACATGTGTCATTTCAACTATAGACATGGACTCAGAGTTTCTTGGCCAGTTATTCACTGTCAAGACCACAGGGGAACCGGTGTGGGGGAGGGGAGAACTATGAAAATGGAAGCTTTGCCTCACCTTTTCCAGTGTACTAAAGGAGGGCCAGGACTGAAATCCATACTCCGAAGCAAACCGAGTTTTAGGATACACTGTCCAGTTCCAGCAGTCACTGAGATAGTCATAAAAGTGAGTGTCACCATAATGGGTGTCATAAGGATTCTGGGAGACCCAGCCTTTTCTAACAGACTCCTGGCCATTTGTGGGACTGGATGCAATGTAAGGACGGCTTTTATCCTCCTGAGTAAACAAAACAAAAAACACACTAACATAAAGTGACTGGTTCCAACAACAATATCCAGATTTTATTTCGGAAAGGAAAACCAAAAAGGCTTTGCCAAATTGCTCAGTCACAGCCTAGGAAACATTTTGCTTTTGTGCCCTGCCATTCATCATCTCCCTTGTGTTTAACCATTTGCATGAATTCCTGGAATCAAAGGCCTAGCAAGATTACCACTGCTTTCCACCTCCATGATTCCTCCTCCCTGTCATGGCCATGTAATTGCTGCACAAATCAGGCTTTCAGATATCACAAGTACCAGCCAGATGCTCCCACTAAAGAACTGGGCAGTGAGAAAACTAAGCCAGGACTTCACTACCCCTTCCTACTGAAGTCAGCAAAACTGACTGGACACATTTATGAGGGAGAAATATTCTGCATCCTGTTCAGTGGTGTCATCAATGACTTCCTCTCCTCACAGTACAAAAGGGATATCACTAGACTCCAAATTGTACTCCTCTGAAACACAGTGCCTCCCAGATGTCCTCTTGGGGTCATGAGGATTCCCACTGTCCCTTACAAGCAGGATGGAAAACTGCACAAGCCAGCCCTTAATTCATAACTAGCACTTTATTAAGCCCAGGACAGACAGTGGGGACGCTCCTTGGTGTATCCAACTCTAGGTGTCAATTAATAAAGTTATAAACAGGAAGAACCCTGCTACTTCTTGCCCATGGAAGCTTGCTGGCCTCATCTGCTAGTACAATGTAGGCTTCCTCAATTCATTCTGAGTAGAGAGGAATTTGGAAGCTAAAGTGCCGTTTTAAAAATCTTGGCAAAAGGGATTCTCTTGCCTCAGATAAAGGGAGTTGCTCTCTTTAAATACTTCCACATTTTTAATGACAGCTACTTAAAACACTGCTAGTGCAAAACAAATAAAATCATCGTTTACGTTTGTGTGATGAAGAATACTGTACTTTGAAGTAAATTGATTATTTTTGCAGCAAGTTTTGCAGTAGCAGTACTAAGTCCCCCCCCCCCCCCCCCCCGATTGCAGACAACCAACAAGCCTTAGTTTTCATATATGGAAGGTGTTCTGCCATTACAGTCTGTTTGTGGCATTGTGCTTTGATTTCTTTGCAGGGGAGGGGATGGGAAGAGGGCTGGCTGTGCATTTTAGACCAGATGCAGCTTTATGAAGGGCAGGATTTATAGCTGTTTCAAATTACATATTTATAATCACTACTGCACACTGCCTCTTATGGGTGCCAAATATTGAAGGGTTTCTTTGAAATTGTAAAACATTTAGGGAAACACAATTTTAGAAAGGGAAGTTCCTGGTTCTACATTCACAGTTCCTCTATTAGCTCCACAAAGAATATAGCCACAGGCTTCAGTTTAAACACAAGTAATCCCACTCACTCATTTTAACAGTGTGAACAGTTAATCACTGGAACTGCTTACCGAAACATATACTACATTCTCCATTGCTAAAGTCTTGATGTGAAAAATGGATGTTTTTCTAAGTGATAGATTCTAGCTAAGTGATAGATTCTAGCTTAGCCACATGTAATGGACTCGACAGAGAAATTGCTTGGTGAAATTCTATGGCTTGTGTTATGGAGGAGTTCAGACAGAAACTGGGCAATGGTTTCTTCTGACCTTAAAAATCTACCTATCTTTATGCCTAAAGTGAAGCAGATGCTTGAGCAAGACTGGACACACTGTGCATTCAAATTGGGTGACTCAATATATAAAACATAAAATACCTACCAGAAGCATTTCACTAAGCCACCTGCATGTGCAGTAACCCAATTTGTGCATGTGATCATAGAAATGATAGAAACCTAATGACCTACAAATACAGGTATACCCCAGGGTGCGTATTCTTCCTTGTGTAGTTTACTGGAGATTATATACAAAACAGTAACTAAACTATATACCTTTGTATTCCTGTTTAATGTATTGATACTAAAATAACAACAGCATTTATATAGGTTGAACCTCTGTGGTCTGGGACACTCTGGTCTGGCAATATCTATGGTCCAGAAGGATGTTGCACAGATGCAGTTCTCTAGTCCAACAACAACACAGAGGTTGCTGGTAGCTGGGAGCAGAGCCATCCAGAGGGACTGGCAAGGTAGCAGAGCCCAAGGGGAACTGGAACACGCTACAGGCCGGGTTGGGAAGCTGGCTGGGGCAGAAGAGCTTGCAGCTAGTAGGTTCAGAAAGCTGGCAGGAACGCCAGAGTCTGTCGGGAAGAGAGGACCACTGAGCCCACAGCCGGTGGGGCCAGAGGGAGGAGGGGCTGTACAGTTCACAGCTGGTGGGACCACGAGCACCTGCAGGGCTGCCACAGGTAGGGGGCTAGGGAAGCAGTGGCAGGTAGCTGGGAAGAGGATCCCAGTTGGAGCAGCTGGTACCCCCTCACCTGACATTCCCAGGCCCAGAAAAATCCCTCATCCAGTGGCTGAATCTGGACACCAGTCCGACTTACATACAAATTCAACTTAAGAACAAACCTACAGTCCCTATCTTGTACGTAACCCGGGGAGAGCCTGTAATCAATTTTAAGCTGCGAATTATTTTGGCTATGAGCGTAAACAAGACTGTGCTTTTCTTGAGTCCATTTTACATTAATATTGACAGCAATTGTAAAACATGGAATCATTAATAGATTAGGAATGTTGATAATATGAACTTATTAGAGTTAAACTTTAATGGAGATATTTGTCAAGCATATAATATCAGCCATTTAGATTTATTAACAGCTTGGCCCTTATTGAGCAGTTTCTCTTTTACTTATTTCTCCTCGAGGTTTTCCTGTACTTTTAAATTTCCAGGACTAGAATGGCACTAAAAGCTCCTAAAAGCCACGCAATCACCAATGACTACACCTGTGTTGTCTTTAGATTATACTTAGCCTGGTTGGTGCATATAAATTCATGGCGTCTACTGTAATTTTACCATAGCCAGTAAAACCAGTTTAGCTCAACATCATCATATTCTAAAGTAGTCTGTGAGTCATGAAGCAAGAGGGATAAGCAGGTAGCTACTGCAGGGTAGAAAATTCATATTTCTTGGTAGGAGAGAAATGTTTTTATTGGAAGAATGTCAGTTTCACTTTACATATCACTGTATATTTTAGCTAACCCGAGAGATCAAAGCATTTATCTATGGTTCAGGCACTACTCTCTGCATAGCTATTCAGTAATAAAATGCCATGTACAGCAGCTTATTCTTTAGTGCTGTCACAGAGGCAACTTTTAGTCCTTTCAGTCCACTTCCTATCTAAAGTCAAAAACAGTAATGTTTCATCGCAAGAAGAGAGAGAGCTGTTCACAAGTGTTGGCAGGTTCCCTCCTATCCCTGCAACTGTAGGGAGCACTGCCAGATGTTGAGGAGACTCCTTTGGAAGGCCGCACCTTAATTCTAAGAAGGGAATAGGTAAACCAGTTGATTCCATCTCCTACTGAGAACTGCTACAAGACTGGAAGAGAGGAATTATCCCTCATCTGCATCCCTTTGGCTGTCTCCTCTCTTGTTTTCTGATCAACCAAAAAAAGGTAAAGTAGGATTTCACAATCCCTTTGGAATGCAGCATGTACTCTAGAATTACTGCAATGGAACCTAATTAAAATGGAGTGAGGGGTTGTAACTGCTGCATCCACACTGAGAATTTTAGGCAAGTCTTGTATTACATGAAACTCAGTTGGTACCAGGAAGAGTGTACACAGGACACAGATCTTTTTAAACCAGCATGTGCTGGTTTCAAGTTCATACCATAGTCAGTGAAACTGCATCAGTGGGTAATGATGGTAAATTACAAGTCTCATTTTTGCATTCTGTGCCCACACAGAATTGACAAGACGTGAAAGTCCAACAATTTGGGGGTTTCAATCCATTCCATTCTAAGCAGAATTTCACTGTAAATAACTTCATTATAAATAGGTACCACTGCATGACACCAAGCAAAGATCTAAAACTTATAGAACCAGGAGAAAAATCTGTAAAATGAAATCACAGCAGCCTTTACTATGTTTTTTACGTATTGTTGTCAGCAAGTCCACACAGCTTCTGTAAATCTGTTCCCTTAAACAACTCAAGGAAATTTTGCCCAAGTTACAGAGAGAAGAACTATTTTTACAAGACAATTTTGGGGCAGGGGCTTCCCCCCTGAAAATTTCACTTACAGACAGGACAACTTCTTGGATGTTCTTCACATAAAGTGTCACATAGTCTTTCAAATAAACTTCCATCTTGGCATGTGGTATGGAGAACCAGTTGCCTGCAATTGCTGCCTCATTTTCATTGTTTCCACTCCATAAAATGATGCACGGGTGAGATTTTAATCTCTTTACCTGAAATAGAAGTCACAGCTTCAAAATTAAAATGTAATTACTTCCATTTAATGAGGCTATCTTTTAATGATTATGCAAGTTGGCTAGAGTTTAAAGAATACTGGCTGATTTCAAAACCTGCTGCAGTTATTTCAATGACAAGAAATAAGAAAGATTCCAAATAATACAGTACTATTACAGCCATAGGAATAAGGAACCAATGTTGCAAATAGACAGGTCAGTAACTTCACTCCATGAGCACTCATACAGACTAGGGTTGTTAAAAAGCAGGCAACTGGGTAACAGCTGAAATTTTAAGCAGTTACAACGTTACATGCACCCGCAGCCAGCTCCTAGTGTGTACCGGCTCCTGCCTTCTGCCCTGCTCCTGGGGAGCCAGCTGCCACCTCACTCGACTGCCCCTGCCTCCCATGGAGCCAGTCCATGCCAAGAGCTGGCTTAAAAGCCAGCTCCTGGCACGTACTAGCTAGGGATGTGAACAACTAGTCGACTATCCGTATCTAGTCGACTATGCGTATCGGATTGTCAACACGCTCATAGACTAGTCGCTTCCCTCCCTTTACTGCCTCTATCAGAAAGAGCCAGCAAAGAGTCGGGGGTGGGAGGAGAGGAAAGGGTGGTTCAAAGCGGCAGCACCGTGTGGAGCCTGGGACCAGACCCTGGGCTCCACATGGCATTGCCACTTTGAAACGCCATATGCAGCCAGGGGCCAGGCTCCCTGTGTCATTTCAAGGGGCAGCACCACATGCAGCACCACATCAGAGTTCCCAGCTGATCCCAGTCTCCACGCAGAGCTGCCACTTTGAAATGCCACAGGGAGCTCGTGGCCCACAGGGGACTGCTTGAGTCCCTCGCTGGACCTGTGCCCACAGCGCTTTCACCTTTGAAGTGTAGCAACAGCCCTGTCTACACTTCAAAAGCGAAGGCGCCCTTATTGACTAATTGAATAGTCGATTAAACTGACTATTCGATTAGTCAATTAATTGAAATTTAACGCTCCTAGTACTAGCTCCACTTCCAGGGAACGGGCTGCCATCCCATGCTGTGGACTCTGATACAAAGCCAGTAGTGTGGGATGGCAGCTAGCTCTATGGGAAAGGGTAGGAGCCTGCATGTAACCATTCACGGTGACTGATTAGCCCAGACTCATTGGTTAACCATGTAAACTGTTATCCTATTACAGACTTCAATGGGAATGCTCACATGAATAAACACAGACTTCAACGGGAATGTTCACATGAATAAAAGTTACTTGTGCTCCTCCAGACTCAGGTCCAAATTTGCATATCTTTGAAACTACTAAAAATTCACATTTATGGTAGATTATAAAAGACCAAAATACTTAGTATTTTCATCTTTACTTTTCCACCAGGTACAAGATAGCACTTTTTTTTTTTGGTGAAAAAAGAACCCAAACAAAAAAATCACCTTCTCTGCCTGTCCAGAAAAATAAAAGTTAAAAAACAATGAGAAGGCCCAGGCCTGCAAAAAAATGTAATCTCCTCTTCTCCTAAAATATGTACAAGCAGAGGTGAGATGTGAAGTGGGAAGACAGGACAAGGGGGTCTCAGGTTATCCCTAGGATGACTTCTAAATTCTTCTGCCTTCATATTCTGCCTTTTTTCTATATAGGCCCCCCTCCTTGTTCTTGCTTTTGTACATTTGTTATGTGACTGTACAACAGACTGCAATCTTTAAAGAAACTCATGCCGGGCAATGAGTAATAAAAACAAAACAGAACTACTGCGTCAATGCAAGCACTTGGCAATACGGATACTTGATGCAAATGAACATACCTGATGAGTAATTTCTGCTCTTACTGATTCTAAGTAGTTCTGGTCAGTTGGGTAAAGGGCACATGCAAACATAAAATCCTGCCAAATCTATAGATCAAGAAAAACAAAATATAAAATCTATCAGCAAGTAATTTTCTGTACCTGAAATACACATTATTTTCAGTTCACATGGACTTTGGTCAGACGGAATTATTTGTTTTAAACAAATGAAGACTGAACGTGTCATCAAAACAACTACATTCCAGATGGGCTCAACTTTCATTTGGACATACATCCCCTACCCCCGAAATGATTTTCTCAATTTTAGCATTTTAACTAATTTCTTTATTATTACGAGACAGATTCTTCCACCTCACTCATGGTTTGCAAGAAGCTTCATTGCTTTCAGTAAGAATAGTTGGAAGCCATATACTACTCAAGTAGAGTAAAGGTGAAAGACTCTGGCCATAAGTGAACAAAGTTCTTATGCCTTTTATACTGTGTTTTGCTTAACATAATAGGGATGTTAAATCCTAGTTAACGGGTTAAACATTAGGTTAACCTAACTTTTAACTGGTTAACTGACTAAGCGGGATCTCCTTACTTCAAGCCCCAGCTGACAGCCATGAGGGACTGGTGGCTGGGGCTGCTCCTGGGGAACCGATTAACCATTACCTAGTAAGTATCACCCAGTAAGGATGATGCTTATCAGATAATCGGTTACCATTATCTTTTCACAACCCTGGCATACACGCATGAGCACAGCAACAAATCCCAACTGCCTATTCGCAGAAGGAAGCCATTACACTGCTGCATTTAATTTTTTTATGATTTAAGGTACAGCTACTGTAGCACTCCACACGTGCGTCTCAAACTGACATATAAAACAAACGATCAAATTAAATTAAAGACTTGCAGGAAAAAGTGATACAAAAGGAACTCCTCCAGCCATCAGAATGTAAAAACCCAGAGCCTCCCACAAATGAATGTCTCTTCAGAGGAAAGCATGGATACATAGATCTATCTTGCAAGAAGCCTCTAAGGTCAATCACAAAGAGATGAAAAAAATCTTTGTCACCTCATCTATCTATATTCCCTTACAACCAATCAGATATCTCCATGACAACTTAAAAATAAATTCCCTGAACTATTTTAACTGCATTTTAACAATTATCAGCAAAAAACAGAAATGAAAATGAATCAATACCCAATACACATTGACTGAATATGTAATTCCACAGTCTACAGACCCGAATAAACTGTTCCATTAGTATCTCAAAAAAAGGAATTCTGAAAAAAATGGACATACTTCCGTCCGATGAATAAGATATCCATTTCCATCTGTTTTCCTTTTAAAGTTCCCATGATTTTGAGATTCTTAATAAATCCTGTATTTTCATGGTGATAAGGGAAAGATCTACTGAAAAATGTTGTCACAGAAACATCATTGTTGGTAAAGCTTTCCTTTTACATTGGGGTCTCATACAAGATGTTATGCAGGAAGATGAAAACCAACTAAGCACTTCCTGCAGTGAGAGGACTCCCTTGTATGAAGGATTCAATGGGTCTTCCCACAAAAGATTTGAAAACAAATTTTTAAAAATGTGTTAATAAATGCAAAATCATGGAAGCTTTACAATGGGGAAAAAAAAAAAAACCACCAACCAGTACAAAATCAGAACCTGTTAAAAAAATTGTGCAGGCTCCATCAGAGAATGTGTAGATACAGATACACTTTACAAAGCATTGCCTCAAAAGTATCTAACATGGTATTTTACATTCTAGATGCAGTGAATTGTTACTTCCTTTTTCCTTCAGATGTTATCCCATTATATGGTTCGACTTTGAAAATTATTCAATCTCTTTATAAGATAGCAAGAGAGGCAAGTTAAATAGAAGACTCATCTTCATTCATCAGTATTACATTTTTTCTTGGTTGATTTTCATAGAAGATTTTCTTTCAAATCTGAGTTCAATTTTTTTTCCAGACTGAGGCACCTACATCAATATTTAGGGTACTAAATAAGGCCCTAAGTAACTGCATGCACTCCAAGCTAAATGGCCTATTCAGGTGACCAGCACCTACAAATCAAGGAGAAATATAGGTGCTCGGGTGCACTGAAAATGAGGGCTCTTGTTTTAGGTGACCAAAATAGATTTAGGTGCCCAGTTTTAGGCACCCAGTTCCAACAATTTGGTGTCTCTGTAAGGAATATCTAAGAATCTTCTCTCTGGTACAGGAAACATCAGACATAACGTCTACACATGGACACTTATACAGAGGGAAGACCACCCATTCACATACAATGCTAATTTAATGTTTCTCTTGTGAAAATCATAGTGTTCTGTTTTCTCGTGTGTTGTGCTGAATAGCAGATGTAAGCACACTTCAAGATTCTAATCACAACTCAAATGTCACAAACATACTCAGTTTCATCAAAAGCCACTGATGTGTATGGACAATCTTTTACGCCACAGCTATGTATCTAATTTCACCATTGTGTTTGCAGCAGGTGTCCCCATTACAGTCACATTTACATTCAATTTATAGTTTTCCCAAAAATATTCCTTTTGGGCTGAAATTTTCTATGTTTGGTCTCAGGCCAAAGTTGAAAAATTCTGGAAAATGTGAATTAAATATCTTCAGCTGTTCTGAAGTTGAGAGATATTTTTTAAATAGAAATAACAATTTTTATATTTTATAAATATTTATATTTATAACAATTTTAAATTTTATTGTTGTGGGGATTATTAAAAAATAGCTGGAAGTATCAGATTCAAATGTAGTAGGTAATGAATTTTCACTGAGAGTCACTGTGTAGGCAGCACTTACTCTGTTGAGAATTTATTCATGTACTCCCACAGGTTTTAACAGTGCTACTCTCACATGAATAAATAATTAGAATGAGAAAAAGGTTCCACAATTGCCATGAAGAAGAAAAAAAGCCAAGGTAAGTTGCATCTGTGTCCAGTCGACAGAAGATTCTATATTATGTAGTTTCTTATATAGCACTCATCACTGAAATACCTGAGCTACTTCCAGCAGAACATTAAGCAACATCACTAACAACTGTCACGCATGGTTCATTCTCTCTCTCATCTTCTCTTGTGGAGAAAGTATTGTGCAGCAATTTCCTTTGTTTGAGACCATTTTGAGCTACTTTGACAGCTCTTAGTTTTGCTAATCACAGGCTCAACCTCAAGGTCTTAAGTTGAAATCTTGCTAACAAGCAGGGTGACAGTTGTTACATTTGGAACTATGCTGTTGTTATACACCTTTCTGATGCATAACAGCATCAGTCGCATCCTGCCCTTGGCCTAAGGCAGGATAACTGTTAGGAAAGTGCTGTACCTATGACTAGATACTTGTCTTTGGCCTATATCTTACCTTTGTTTTTCCTCTCCAGTGTTTTCTTTAAACACACATACTGGAGAAACTATAGAAGAACAAGCAAGATAAATTTAGCATTACGGTTGAAACGTTGGAGGGTACCTGTGCACATGTGTGTATGCAAAAGTAAATACTTATGTTAACTGTCTAAATTTTTAACTTTTTGGTACCCAACTTGTGAGACCTTAAAGGTCCCTGATTTTCAGAGCACCCATCCTATGAAAATGAGGCCCTTATATATTGTTTCAAGCTGAGTATCTAAAAACCACTAGTTCCTTTTGAAAAATTCAGCTCAGATTCCTGTACCAGTATTAACTCTGCAACCTTGCTCGTACATTAGTATTTTCTATTTTTGTTCTTCACAATTTGGAATACAGGAGCTGACTTGTCTTGTTTATTTTTTACCATTATTCCTAGTTCATCACAGATATCATAGAATTCATCTTGCTCATACACTCCTCCTCCCCATACACGAAGTGCATTCATGTTAGCATCAACTGTGGACTGCAAGATGAGCTTTAACCTGTTAAAATACAAAGAGAATTGAATCAGGAGATCTAACAGTTGTATGAAATTATATCTTTCCCCCTCCCCCACAAATTAGATAGCTAGGAGAAACCTAAACAAGCTTATATCTTTTTCTTATTTAAAAAAAGGTCCTCTTTATATATCTCATTAGCTGGCATGCCAAGATTAGTAACTTTGACTGAAAGATCATTCTGACACCCTAAAATTCTGTATAAAAGTTCATTGTACTCACACAGCTAAATTCTTGCAAATAAAAAGACTCAATCCCGCTAGCTCTTACCAGAGAGACGAGTGGGACTACTCATGATAATAAGTACCACACTCAGTAACAAGCATTTGCGGGTTCGCCTTAAGACCATTGTAGGCTCTATCCCAGATTGCACCATTCAAAAATGTTTTCTTAAAAAAATGTAAACACTATATTCATCTAGGTAGCTCTGATTTATCATCTTCTATTCCCTTTCATTTTTACCCTGTTTTATATACATTTTACCTTGAATTTTAAACCTTTGCAACCATTGCTGATACATATCTAGGAGACTTCTTTTCTTCTATGTTTACAAAGCATAACGATAAAGAGTCAATAAATGAACAGATGCATCACAGCACCCGAAATGACATTTTAAAATCATGGGCCCAGTTCTGCCAGCCTCAGTTACTGAGTAGACACTTCACCATACAAGTAGGCCCACTGCTAACAACCTAAGGGTAGCAGAATCAGGCTCTGAGCACCAAGGTTCCCTCAACACATCAATCAACATAATCAGAACACTACTTTTGCCAAGAGGCAAATCTCTTCCCCTTTACTGACCTGATTTCTAACTCCCCTTATTCACACTGAACAGTACTCCGAAGGGTGTTCCACTGTTGATGTCAATGGGACTGCTCATAGAATGAGAGCTATTCATCAGGAATAACGAGTGGCAAAATCTGGCCCTTATAATTCATATTCTTTAGATATTAAACATGAACTTACGTATCAGAGGAACCTCTGTCCTGAAAGGAATCTGGTGGAATCCAGTTGGATCCCTTAATGAAAATGGGGAGTCCGTTGATCCTGAAGTAAAAACTCAGGCCTTGTGACCCAGGTACAAGCTCCTCAACCAGTTCCACTGTTCGAAAATAAGCCTGAGGAGAATTGAAACTAGCTCATTTTTAAAGCAGTCACAATCCAGACACAAAAAATATAAAAAAGGAAATCTAAAAACTAGTGCTGTCCATTGCAGTTAGCTCACATGTTTAACTCAAAAACTTATTCATGATTAACAGCGGTTTTAATTATGCTGTTAAAATGGGAATTAATTGGATATTTTTCTATATTTTTCGAATATACTGATTTAAATTACAGCAAAGAATACAAAGTGTACAGTGCTCATTTCATATTATTTTTATTACAAATATTTGCACTGTAAAAATGATAAACAGAATAAATAGTATTTTTCAATTCACCTTATACAAGTATCATAGTGCAATTTTTTTATTATGAAAGTGCAACCCACAGATGCAATTTTGTTTTATTACATAACAGCACTCAAAAACAAAACAAAACAAAACAAAACAATGTAAAACTTTAGAGCCTATATGCCCACTCACTCCTACTTCTTGTTCAACCAATGGCTAAAATAAACAAGTTTGTTTACATATATGAGCGATCATGCTGTCAGCTTCTTATTTACAACGTCACCTAAAAATGAGAAGAGGCATTTGAACAGCACTTTTGAAGCTGGCATTGCAAGGATTCAGATGTCAGATATACTAAACATTTGTATGTCCCTTCACACTTTGGCCAGTATTCCAGAAGATATACTTCCATGCTGATAACGATCATTAAAAAATTATGTGTTAATTAAATTTTGATTGAAATCCTTTGGGGAAAAATAGTATATCTCCTGTACTGTTTTATCCACATTCTGCCATATATAGCAGTCTTGAATGACGACCCAATTGTTCATTTTAAGATTTTAGAATGCAAAGAAAGTACCAATGTGAGATTTCTAAAGACAGTAACACCACTCAACTCAAGGTGTAAGAATCTGAAATGCCCACATTTCGTCTTTTGGGGATGAAGTGTGGCAAATACTTTCAAAAGTCTTAAAAAAGCAATACTCCAATATGAAAACTAAAGAATCCAAACTACCAAAAGAGAAAATCAACCTTCCATTGGTAGCATCAGATGTTGAATATGAACATGCATCACTCTACACGGCTTTGGATCATTATCAGACAGAATCCATAAACAGTATGGACGCATGTCCTTTGCAAAGGTGGTTGAAGAATAAAGAGACATATGAATCTTTAGCGCATCTGCCATGTAAATATCTTATGACACCAATTACAACAGAGCATGCGAATGCTTGATCTCACTTTAAAGTGACCATGTAAACAAGAAGCAGGTAACATTATCTCCTGCAAACGTAAACAAACTTATTTGTCTGAGTGGTTGAACAAAGAGGAGGACTGAGTGGACTTGTAGGCGCCAAAGTTTTACACTGTTTTATTCCTCAATGCAGTTATTTTTGTTCACAATTCTACATCTGTACATTCAACACGCAAGATAAAGGAGACTGCATTTCAGTACCTGTATGAAGTGAACTGAAAAATGCTATTTCTTTTCCTTTTACAGCAAATATTTGTAATTAAACATAAATAAGTGAGCACTCTATTCTTTGTTGTAACTGAAATCAATATATTTGAAAATGTAGAAAACATCCAAAAATATTTAAACACATGACTATCTATTATTGTTTAACTGTACAATTAATCATATGATTGCAATTAATTTTTAAATTGCTTAAAAGACCTACTAAAAACCTAACCTTCACCTTCAGGCATTGTCAATTACAACTTTAGTTTATTAGTGCACTATTGAGCTTTTTCTAAAGAATAACAGTATAGGAGTTCCAAATGAGATCAGTGTGCATGTTTTGTTAAATCATCTCTGCACAATATCACTTTACTTTCATTTCAAGAGGAGCTTGAAATAGAAAATTGCTGGAAGTTCCTGGCTTACTGACAGAGAGAGGGAGCATGTATGTGCAGATTGCTCATGTTGCAGCAGACATTTATATGACCTGTTTTTCACTCAGGGAAAGAAATCCAGAGGCTGCATTAGATTCAACACTAATTGTATTTTACTCATACTTTCTCTTCTTCTGAAAGGAGATTGCAAGAGTCCAACTGTAGAATTCTTTACCAGAGAAGATGATACGAAGCCCAAGCCTGACCATTCAGATCCAAAGTGAGACCCGACTTTTCACTAAAGCCAGTTCCCCCTGTAATGACATCTTTCCCATGGTAACTAGCCAAAGGAAAGACAAGCTCCTTTGGACAGCTTAGTTTTATTTGAATAGGTGCAGTTCAGCACTAAGATACCATGGTGACCAGCTCAGACACAGAACAGTGAGATTAGATAAAGCTACAGACACGACTGCGGTCAGGTAGAGTCACTCATCAAGCGGAGGCCCACACATCTACTGGAGCTGCCCTTTCACCCTGACATCTGGTAGATCTGTGTTTGTGGACAGAGCATTACCCACTATGCAAGCTCAGGCCCGGCAACGGGGGGTGGGACAACAAAGGGGTCAACTGCCCTAGGACTTGGTGATTCTAGACGGCACAGAGCTCCCAGACAACACTACCATGGGAACGCTGGAGACTGGAGCCTGGGCCATTTAGGACTGCTGCGGGAGTGCCATGCTCTTGTCAGCTCTGAGGGCTGGTGGGGGAGAGGGGTACCATGCCATTCAGGTAGTGCTGGAGACTTGCTGTCCCAGCCCCACCCCTTTCACCTGAGTCCCCGCCCCTTCCAGGATTATGGTGCTGGGCCTCTCCACACACACATTGCCCAGAGGCCTGGCAATCCTATTGCTCTCCCATGCTTGCTTTTTT